TTTTTTCTTGATAGAAGTGTTTGCAGCTATTTTTAAGAGCTGTTACTGGAGAAAGAAATTGATTTATCAAAAGAATTATTCACTACTGAGTAATTTTTACTTCAGCACACGAAGATGACAAATGGAAAAAGTCTTGTTGCAGAATTAGAAGAATTTAGTAATTTTGCAAAGCGTCGTGTTGTGACTAAATTTGAAACTTGTACCGGAGATACAATATGCGAAACTTTTAGGACTTACCGTCAGCAGCTTATGACCTTCATTGAGGTTCTTCTCTTCTTTGGAAGATTTTCCTAATTAGTTTTGACTTTCCTAAAGAGTAGCATTGGTAAAATGGACCTAGATTGCAACTATTCTCTTTCCCGCTGTGCTTTCTGATCTTAGAATGCATTAAGAGAGACACTTCAACTTTCATCATTTTTTAGAATGAAAATGAAAAAGAAAAGTTACTTATAAATGCGAATGTTGGGAAAGTTCAGAAGCTTCGGGTTTTGGTTAGCAAAAGCAAGGACTATTACGGTCGACAAATGAAACAAGTAACGATTGCTACATAAATTATGTTTTTAATAGGTCATGATAAATTAATTTTGACATTTTTTTTCCAATCATATATTTTCTGTGAAAGTCTAGGAGTGCTGTGAAGGTATAAAGTTGTCTTTTACTTCGAAATTCTATATGTTACTAATCTATTTATTTTTCTTCTTTTTAACACAGGGTTTAGAAAAAACAACAGTGTCTTGCGATAAGAGAAAGGATTCTTGAAAAACTGTAGCAGAATTTGAGTCGTTTTTTTGTTGAAACTTTTTGATAACTTGACGACAGACCACTTCAGCTAGCTGACTGGTTACCTAATTTTTCTGTAAAGAGGCAGCAAAGTAAAACAAAAAAGTGAAAGCGGTAGAGAGATAGAGATATAGAAGACTTTAAAGCAAATTGTTTTTTTTCTACAGTATTTCGGAAAAGAATTACAGATACGGTAAATTCAGGTATTACTCTTGTCGTAAATTTTTTAACAAAGCTTATAAAGTTAAGTTAGACTTTAATAGGTATCAATAAAGATGTTAAAATAGTTTCTTCTTCTCAGCTCTGTTGTGAAGTCGATATCTACCTCCTTCTCAAATGAGTTTTCGATTTAGACTGACGTCTATCTGTATACCCATTTCCCTATACATAATCTGATCTCATTTAAAACAACTAATCTTTTCTGTATGATCAGCCTATATTGGTATTCGTCAACAAAGGTGACTAACAAATCACTTATACAACTCATTTGCTGGAATTGATAATGGCATTTCTATATCTTCCTCCGTCTCTTTGAGATTATTTAGTAATTTCTCTGAATTTCCTTTTACTTTTATCTCAACCTTTATCAGCCAATAACACTACCTTTTCAGAAAGTTCTCTCAGCTTTTTAAAATTTCTTGAACATTAGTCTCATTCTGTTCTGTCATCAGCCTGTCTCAACGACAAACTAAAGTAGTAAATTATAAACTGCAAACTTAAGTAATTTCTTCTCAGCTTCTTAGAGGCGGTTTTTAATTATAGCTCAACCCTTCCTCCTGCAGTTCTCTTCTTTTAACTTAACTTACTTCTACCTTAAAACATAAAAATTTGAAGAATACAGGAAGCATCAATTACTCTTTTAAACGGTCAGCTTTTCCATGAAACGCTCATCTGTCAGATCAGGTTCTCATCAGGTTCTCGTCACAGTAGCACCGTATATTTGCCATTTTATAGTCATTCCACATTTCAGGCTTTGGAAGAGCGTGAAACAAAAGGTGTTCCATTAAAATTAGACGAGCTTTATGAACAGGTAAGTGTAAAGTTAGAGAAGAATGTAAGTGTAGAGTTCTGTTGGTTTATGAAGTTCAAGAACTAACAGAACTTCACACTTTTATTTTAGTATAAAAGAG